AGTGCCTGAGAATTGCCATGGAGGCGGAGGAGGAGAGGGGGAGGAGGAGGAGGAGGAGGAGGAGGAGGAGGAGGAGGAGGAGGAGGAGGAGGAGGCTGGAAAAAGAGGAGGCGAACGTGTAGGGACGCGCTGGAAGTGCCGTCGGCGACGTGTCTGAAGAGCAAGCGCGTGGCATATGCCGCGCATGCGGCGCGTGCTCCTGAGGAGAGGCAGCCCGTCTTCATCCTGGTTCGCCTGTGGCTTGCGCGTGGGGGTCACATCGCCTTCGTCCTGAGGGCTGCACCCTCAAGCCATGCAATCCCGAATTGAACGATAATTAATGGGGGCGCGTGCCCGCATTTTCTTTCAAGGTTCCTTCGTCAGCCTTCGGTACTCAGCCCACATCGTCATGGCGGAAGAGCTGCGCAGTGGAACTAGGGTGCAAAAACGCCGACTGTTAACTTCTTCAGCGCAAAGGCGTCGAACCTGACAGTGAGAATTTTCAGGCGTGGTATCGGTCTGCATGTCTGGAGCATAACCACTGCACAAACAAACATTCAGATTGTAGAGATCGGGCACCAAGCACACGCACTACACAGGACTTGGCGTGGACCACACCGACTCCGACAGACCTGCCAAAAGGCCAACTGGCCTGCACGAATCGGACAACCACTTAAACTGTCGCAGGATGATGCAGTCTGGCTGGCTTCCCAATGCCCTGAAAAACATGTTTAGCGCCACCCTGGCGATGCGCCACTGCTGATCCATCACGGTGTTCCGTCAAGACACGGCACCCGTGCTTAAGGCGGATGCTGCACAACTCTTCCTAGATGAAACAAGGTCTAAAGAGGATTCGGTTGTTCACGCTCGCGCACCCTTGCCTTCAGACACCTCCTCGGTACGCAACAGTTTGTAGCCACTTTGGAGTTTCAGAAAAATGTACCAGTCACCACTTTTAACGATGTGTGCAATATGGTTTGCATGCTATCTGCCGTCTGAGGCGTGCAGTCAATTTGGTGCGATACTTCCGGTGCAATTTAGGTGTTGCATGCTTCTTCGTGGAAGCAGTGTGGTGCAACCTGCATCGTGCAATCCAACGTCGTGCGTCGTGCAATCCATGTGAGCGACGAAAAGAAGCGGGTATTACGCGAGATGGCACGTTGACCTTACGCGATGGCTTAGTGACGTGGGCCGCCGGCGCGGCACGCCGCGAAACGAGGGTGCTCTCACGCGCAGCCTTGAGCGCGGCAGTTTGCGCGCCAATGTCGGCGCAGACGACCTCGTTTTTTCCTGCGTCGCCCATGCGACGCAGGCTGTGCGCTGCAATCCGTGCGTGCATCTGCGCACGCAGGCCAGCGCTCGGGGATGGACAGAACACCTTTAGCAAAACGTGGCTTCGTGAAAACGACCTCGGCCCCAAACCTGGCGGGCGCAAGCCTGGAAAATGACGGCCGCGGCGCCCTCTCGAGAACCGAAAACGGACAATTCACTAATCGACATGTCTAGAGGGCAGAAAATCCACCCCGATACTAACCACCCCCCGACACGCGAGGCCGTTTAGTACGCCCAAAGAAGGAATCAAACAGGGCAAGGCTGCTTAGTAAACGCCCAAGGCCGTTTAGTAAACGCCAATTGTCTGGTCTGGGTGGGTTTTCTCCCCTTGAATGTCAGGGTGGGGAATCTGGCCAACCCCGAAGCGCACGGGGCGCCCACGAGGCGCCCACGAGGCGCCCACGAGCCCGCGGCCCAGAGGCGCCCGAGCTGCGCACGGGGCGCCCACCGAGGTGCCCGCGGGGCGCCCGCAGGCCTGCAGCAGCGCAGCCACGAACCCTTTCTCGCAAGCGCGGCTTACATAAATCGACTACACTTAAGTCCGGCCTGTCCCCCTACAGAGGGATGCTGGACGGAAGACCGAAAATACTCCAAAAATGCTCCGACGTATTGAACAAAATCATCAGCGAATTGTCCCCAGACTATTTTTTGTCTATTTGTATTTTTTCCCCCTGTACAGGCCCGACTTAAGACTACACGCAAGAGTGACCCTGGGTAAGAGTGACCTTTGGTGCGCGGCTTGTTGGGGACCGCGGGGGGGCCAAACACGAGCGCGCAAGACGCTACTAGCGCATCGCGTTTGGCGACCAGGGGAACCCCTTTGGTCCGCGCCAAAGGTCACTCCTGCGAAAGGTCACTCTTACGTCGATAAAACAGGGCTAGGATCGGGATAAATCGATCCAGAGCGTTCCGGAGCGCTCTCAGAGCGTTCCGGAACGCTCTGGAGCGGCCGCGGCGCCCAATACATCCTCCAAACCCGCCGATTCTCAGAGATTTCGAGTTATCCCGATCCGATTTTGTCCCGATCTTCGCGTCGTTTTATACGTCTAGTCGAATAAAGCACAGCAGATTCAACTCCGCGTCTCGGCTGTCCGGCGGGGAGACCGCCAGGGACGCCCCGAATGCGGATGCCGCCCCATCCCCCTTCCTGCCTACCGGGCGGCCCTCCTCTTTGTTCTGGATGAGGGTGTTGTGCGCCTCGCCGAAGTTCACGATGGCCGTGTTCATCTCCTGGGCGTGGGCCGCAGTGAGGCCAGACTGCAGGCAGAGGGCGAGGCGATGGGGCGGACGCGGGCCAGCGAGAGGACGGGTCCCCGAGGGCCACGGGTCCCGGACCCCCCGTGGCCTCCCCTCCCCTGCGCCAGCTCTCTGTCCTGAGCGGTCTTCTGACAGTCCGGGGGCCTATGATGGGCCTGCTTTCAACCACCACCACCACAATAAGTTGGAGGGGGGAAGGAGAAGGAGGACGAGGAGGAGGAGGAGGACGAAGAGGAGGAGGAGGAGGACGAAGAGGAGGAGGAGGAGGAGGAGGAGGAGAACGAGGAGGAGGAGGAGGAGGAGGAGGAGGAAGACCCCCTCCCCCTCCAACTTATAGTGGTGGTGGTGGAAAACAGGCCCACCAGCCTAGGGAGGACCCGGGAGGCCGACAACGGCGAAAGGCTTCAGGGCCCGGTTTCCCTCAGGACCGCGCCTCCTCATGGTGGCTGTCACCGAGGACGGCATGCGACGCGAGTCGACCGAGACTGAGGGTGCCTGCGTCGGCCGCAAGCGGCCCGCAGAACGTGGATGTGCGCAGCAGAAGCAGGAAAAGGTGCAGCAGCGCCAGGAGGAGCAGAAGGGAAGAGGCTCCGCATCACGTGGATGTGCGCAGCAGGAGCAGGAGAGAAATAGCAGCAGCAGGAGTAGCAGAAGGGAGGAGGATGGAGGAGGAGCGAGGCGGTCGCCAAATGACCCCGAAGGCATCCAATGATGCCTGCAAACCTGCACCGCCCCGCGGAGAAGAGCCGTTTTGTTTTTGCGTACTTCTTTGAAATAAAAACAGCAACCAAACACACTGACAACAAAAATCAAAAAACGCAGTGGGGACAACTTCTCACCCCGAATCGTTTCTGGATCCGAAGGCCCTTGAACGTCCCGAATCGTCTTGTCGACCCGAACCGATTCTCTGGGGACAACTTGTCATCCCGACACGTGACCCCACAGGCAGGAACTGAGGAAGGGCCCCAAGAGTTTAGAAAACCACGACGTCGGATTCCTGAGAATATGAGGATGGAGGAGGCGGAGAAGAAGGAAGAAGAAGAAGAAGAAGAAGAAGAATAATGCGCCGGGTGGAGGGCGAAGAATAGCGGGTTGCAGCGGGTCGCAACTGGGATATATCTATACATATATATATATAGATATGCGGTGTACACCAAACTGATCTCCCTGAATACAGTTTCAGATATTTCTCTCTCTGTCGGAGGTTGCGGGGTGAGGTCGCAGTGGAACGGAGACCCCCAACCGGGCAATCGTTTCGTTTCGTTCGTGTCGTGCGTGCGGGCGAGGCGAAGCTGCGTGGGCGCGCGAGAGGAATGAACCCGCCGTTGCTAGGGCGAAGTCAAGACAGATGATTCTCCCCCGCCCACCCGTCCGGCGGTGGCTCGCGGTGTCCCGCGGTGTTCCGTGGTGTCCCATGGTGTCCGCCGTTGCTAGGGCGAAGTCAAGACAAATGATTCTCCCCCGCCCGCCCGTCCGGCGGTGGCTCGCGGTGTCCCGCGGTGTCCCGTGGTGTCCGCCGCTGCTAGGGCGAAGTCAAGACAGATGATTATCCCCCGCCCGCCCGTCTGGCGGTGGCTCGCGGTGTCCAGCGGTGTCCCCTGGTGTCCCGTGGTGTCCGCCGTTGCCAGGGTGAAGTCAGAACAAATGATTATCCCCTGCCCGCCCGTGGGTCCGTCGGGAGGTGGCTCGCGGTGTCCCGCGGTGTCCCGTGGTGTCCCGCGGTATCCCGTGGTGTCCCGTTGAGTGAGATCGATTGTGAGATTGATCGTGAGGTCGGTAGTGAGATTGATGTGGTGTCCCGAGGTGTCTCATGGTGTCCCGTGGTGTCCTATGGTGTCCCGCTGAGTGAGATCGATAGTGAGATCGATAGTGAGATCGATAGTGAGATCGAGAGGTGTCCCGCGGTGTCCCGTGGTATCCCGTGGTGGCCGGTGGCGTCCCGTGGTGACCCGTTGAGTGAGATCGATAGTGAGATCGATAGTGAGATCGACAAGTGTCCCGAGGTGTCCCGTGTCGTCCCGTGGTGTCCAATGGTGTCCCGTCGAGTGAGATCGATAGTGAGACCGATAGTGAGATCGACAAGTGTCCCGCGGTGTCCCCTCGAGTGAGATCGATAGTGAGATCGATAGTGAGATCGACAAGTGTCCCGTGGTGTCCCGTGGTGTCCCGCGGTGTCCCGAGGTGTCCCGTTGAGTGAGATCGACAGTGAGATCGATAGTGAGACCGATGGTGAGATCGATGTGGTGTTCTGTGGTGTCACGATAGTGAGATCGATTGAGTCAGATGTTGGTTCCCCCCCTTTCCCCCCCACCTCCTCCTTATCACCACCCGAAGGGTGGTCGTATAGGATATGTATGTATGTACATAAACATGCATGTGAAACAGTGTAATTTGATATCGTTCTCTCTCTATTGATCTTGTTTCTCTCTCTCTCTCTCTCCTTTGTTCTCCCTCTCCCGGCTCCCCAATTCCGGGCTCCCTGCGTTCCCGGCTCCCGGTTCCCGGTTCCCCAATGTTCCTGGCTCTTTGTTCAAGGTTCCCGGTTCCCGGTTCCTTGCTCCCTGGCTCCCGGCTCCCATCTCCCGGTTTCCTTCACTTCTGCTACATAGTGGGACGAGGAGGAGGAAGAGGAGGAGGAGGAGGAGGAGGAGGAGAGGAGGAGGAGGAGGAGCCTATAGGGAAGGATGAGGAGGAGCAGGAGGATGGAGGAGGACCAGGAAGCCTCCGAAAGACTCCGCTCCATGGAAGCCTCCGCGGAGGGCTCCCGAGGCCTCTGCAGTCCCCACACACACATACCTGCACACACACCACACACACACACACACGCACACGCACACGCACACGCATACGCACACACACGCACACGCACACGCACACGCACACACACACACACACACGCACACACACACACTCAGACACAAACACACACACACACACACACACTCAGACACTAACACACACACACACACACACCACGCGTTTTGTTGAAGGTCGCGGCCTTACCTGCAGCGACGAGGCGGAGCGGAGAAGTCAAGGGAAGCGGCTGCGGCCCCGCGCGCGCCGAGATCATAGCGGACGGCTGCATATGCAATCTGGGCGTGGAGGGCGGGGAGGCAGGGAGGACGAGCCGACCACCGACCGGGGGAGGGGTCCCGCACGGCGGGCGCGATTCCCACACCACGGGCGACACGACGAGCGACACATCGACCAGCATGCGCTCGGCGAACGAACGAACGGGCTACAGCCGCAGGGGGTCGAGGGCGGAGAAAGGCGGACGCAGTGGAGAGATGGCAGATGCCGTCGAGACGCTGAGCGCCTTGGCTTCCGCCTCCCGAGGGGCCTCGAGAGGCCGCGGGAAGGAACCCTGTTCCGAGGCGGCGCGGCGTCGGGGCCCCCATATTCGAGGAGCCGCGAGCCGCGCGCCGCGGATGGTTTCGCGCCCTCCTGGCGTACCCCTCGGGGGCTGCCCTTGTAGAGGCCCCCTAGATGATGTCCAGAGCAGATGGGGTCGGAGGGTTGCGCCGCTTCGCCGACGCATCGCCGACGCATCGGCCATGCGTCGGCGACGCTGGGAATGTATCGGCGGCGTCGGGGTGGAGAACACCGGGCTCCACATCTCGGGGGCTGCCACGGGCCGCCCAAGAGGGGGGGGCCGCAAGTCATGGCCCGAGGCATATGCGCGGACGAGGGCGAAACCGCAGAGCGCACTGGAAGAAGAAGAGGGGGGACATGAGATCCAGGGGAGATGTCATGGCCCTGGCCATGATATCCCCCCTCCTGGTCGTCATCCCCCCTCCGGCCGCCGCCGATGCATCGGCGACGAAGCGCGCGATCCTCCGACCCCATCTGCACGGACCCCACCTGGGAGGCCTAGACCCCGGCCGGCCACGCCCCCCCGCCCCGAGGGCCGGGTGGGTCGCGGTTGGGTCGCGGCCGGGTCGCGGGGTGGGTCGCGGGTGGGTCGCGGGTGGGTCGCGGGGTGGGTCGCGGGGTGGGTCGCGCGTGGCCCCCTGCTGGAGGCCTCTCGGGTGTGCGCCCGCGGAACATCCAACGCCTTCGTGCTTCAATCCCAGACCGGCGGTCGGTCCTCGCTGGGCCACAGGACCGTGACAACAACGACTCGGGATGAAAGAATGGCCCCGGGGAATGGGTCAGGACTTCCAGGGAGCCCGCAATTACCAAAGAAATCAAGACAACTCGCGATAGCCTAGCCTGGGTTGCATGGACGCGCGTGCGGACTGCCTCTGCCGCGCTGCGACGCAAAAAGTTTGGGAGACGGGGTGCCCAGAAGTCACGACCCCATCTATACGGCCTGTTTTCCATCCCGAGCCGTTCTCTCACAGCCCCGGGTCCCAGCGAGCGCCCCAGGGGGAGCCGAAAACGGTCCGATCCCTTCTGTCGGGATTTTGCCCACGACGCGAGCACGTCTGGGAAAAACATGCACCATCCTGAGCCGTTCTCTCACGGTCCCAGGATCTGGCGAGGGATCCCCAAAGCCGAAAACGGAACCGATAACTTTGTGTCGTGATTCTGCTCACGACGCGGCCGTGTCTGGGAAGACTTAAGCCAGAGTAGTGGGACAAGCGCAGATGAGTCCGCGGGGAGAGGTGGACATGGTACTTGCAAATAGTTTGCGCCTGCATGCAATAACCTGCGCGCTGGACGCAAACGTTGCGCGTGGATGCAGTTGTGGAGTTTTTAGCACACAAAACGCTCGCAAACGAGAGAGAGAGAGAGAGAGAGAAAGATGTCGTTGGGGCAATGCTTAGCACTAAGAAGACCCCAAGCCCTTTGGGAAGGGATCCAAGTTAAGAGGGCCAAACACATTATGGATAGGGGGTCTGTTCTGCAGATGTATCAAGCCAGACAGCCCAGCCCTACGAGCGGACAGCGCGTCGCGCCGCTCCGCTGGCAGGGAGGTCGGGAAAGGCTGGAGGGGGGGGACCAGGAAGTGGATAGCGCGTCGCGCCCAGACATGATGGGCCAGCATCGGCAGAGTGATACGCTGAGCCAAAGCTCCGCTCCGCGGGCAAGGAGGTCGTGAAAGGCCGGGGAGGGACCGGGAAGTGGATAGGGTGTCGCGCGCAGACGCGG